TATACAAAGAAGAGTTTGGGTCTGCAAATTTTATTACGCTTGAGGGTTTTTTACAGTGCAAAACCAAAATCTTAGAGAAGGGTATAAAAATAAAAGCGCTTTGATCAAGACTTAAGAAAATAGCCTTATTTTAGCTCCTTTAGTATTTCATAATTGTTCAGCGAATTTAATTATACATAGTACTACTGCAGTATATATTTTCTGTTCTTTTGTATTTGTACACCGGGCTCTAAACTAAGCCTGGAGTTCAGGCTAGGTAGGCCAAGCTGATACAGATCTATATGCAGCACATTATCTGCCTCTCCTGGACGTACAGTTATCTGATGGGTTTCTAAGACACTGATAATACTGGAGTACTTAGAGTAAGATAGAAATAAATCTCTTCTTTGAGTGGACTAACACAGCAACAGAGATGGCTTTCACAAAGATGTTACCTACTGATGACAAGTTTTGTATCTTTTCGTAATACTTCAGACAACAGAAGCTCTTATAATAGTAACTTTTTACAATATGAAGCTATTTCTATTGAAATAGGAAACACAGCCACCACTTCACAAACCATGACTGCACAAAAATACTGAAATGAAAATATCTAGTTTTTGACACGTTATTCATAGGGTATTTTTAAAGCTGAAGGACACAGCACGAGACCACTACAAAGACTGTGGGATCCTGCTCTCAAACATGGTCTGTACTTATTTCTTGTATAGCCACGTCTGCAGAACTCACCAGCGACAATGAGCCTGACAGCTCTGTCATTAGCACAGCGGATTTGTTAACTCAGCCTTGGTAGCGAGGTCATTGATAAAATGGACTTAGTGATTGATTGAACAACCTCATTGCTTTGCACTAGCTTGTGGGATGGTACGTTGGCCAAGCCTGTGACACAGAAGAGCAGAACTGGAGACCCTGACCTTGTGAGTTGGGTAGGAATGGTTTGATATGTTCCAAACTGAGCAGGATGTTCTAAAGAAACTTAAAAGAGCCTCTCCAAACTTTCTGAAAGTTCTTAACCCTTAGCTGAAAGATTTCTTCTTAGGTTCTTTAAAAGCAAACAGAAAACAAAACAGAAATTTGTGAAAATAGAATTATTTACATACAGCAATAAGTATTTCTGAAATTAACAAGTTCCTTATTAGGCCTTCTCCTTGCTCCATCCCATTTCCTCCTAGTTTGTTTGTTTGTTTGTTTGTTTCCACAGTGAACTCTTCTCCCTGGGAACACTTGCACTTTAAAATACTTAAAAAGCAGGTCACTAAGATGAATTGTTGCTGAAGCTATGCAAGCAAAACCAAACCAAACCTGGGAATCCTATTGTATTGTCTGCTGTTGTTGCAGTTCCAAGTTGATGAGAACCACCATCTTAACAGTGATTCTGGTAAAGCAAAGGACGTGTGGCCTCTGCAGCACCTCAATTAACAGTATAATTACGAAACGATTGTTTGAGCTAAGAACCCAAATTAATCCCCACTGTATCTGTAAGGGCTTTGCTGAAATTAAGGTTATTCAGCACACAGTATGATTCAGACTAGGCATTTAATGGGCCAACCAGTATAGAGTGTAGTGTGAAACATCATAAGGGACAACTGCACAATAGAAATAAATGTTACGTATGTACATCACAGAATCACAGAATTGTAGGGGTTGGAAGGGACCTCCAGAGATCATCGAGTCCAACCCCATGTCCAGTATAATGTGATTTATCAGTTATTCCTCCAGCACAGGGACAGTATTCATTCATACAAGTCAACAGTCTGTAACTGCAATACCCTATATTTAGGGCTAAGTGCTGCCCCACTAAGGTCTTGAGATCCACATACCAGAGTACAGGAACAGACTAAAAGCATATCAAGGATTTTAATTTTAGATACCCTAAGAATAGAAAGTACTTTGGATACTTGTTTTTAAAATGTAATATTGTTGCATCTCAACTAACTTTGTGTTCTTTAGGAAAGTGAGTTTGTTCTGAAGTACATGAAACTAGTTCATGTTTTGATATTAAGTCAAGAAGGCTCAATACAAAGATATCCTAAAGTGGCAGAGTCGTACAGGGCCAAACCTTACTCTTCTCTCCTTTGTTGGCAAGGAGTAGGTTCTCTAGCCTTCTGCCTGCTCCTCGGTATGGACCATTCAGTCCCAAGCATATCACAAAGGCCAAGGAGGCTCTGCTCTTATCTGCACCTAACAGATGACCAGACAAAAACCAAATTTATATTGAGTCTTTGCCTCTTGCATGCTGGAGGTCAGAATAATTAAATTGAGGTGCTTCAGTGAGACGCTGTGATTAGAAAGGGCCTGACCCTGCACCCCATGGCACTGCTGTTCTGCATGCATCACTCACAGGTCTCCAGCACAGGATTCTCAGCAAGTACGTGGGTAGGGGATAGCAAGGATCAGCAACAAAGTGTTCTCAGCACCTGCACTGATTACAGCACGATGGGTGAAGAAAATGGTGTGAGTTTACTAAAGGAGAAGGGGACTCCAACTGATTTCTTGTTTGAGGCTCTGTGGGAGCATCTGCAGTTGCTCCCGTACTGCATACGGCCGCATGCAGTAACAGCTGTGCTCGGGAGTCATTAGCTCTGCTGCTGCCCTGTTAGATTTGCTGGAGACTTTTAACTTTGGATATAGGTGGTTTTCAGTATGTATTGATTTTTGTTTTAGGAAATGCTAAAATAGGATTCTGTCCTTGACAGCTGCTGACCATTCTCCAACCCCTTAGAAAAAAATATACATATATCTGAGAGTTATTTATTTATTAGCTATCTATTCAAGGCTAGCATTTCGTTCAAAGCACAACAGCTGCAATCCTTTCCTGGAGCAACCCAGAAGAATGTGCATGCCCTAGCTTTTTCCCACGACACAGGTAGCACCAGCAGCTAGGATACGTGCTCTTGAAAATGCAGGATATAGCTTGAAATGATGAAAATCGCTATCTAATGGCTTCTGGTCTGTTTTGTCCTGTGATAGTTATTTTTATTATTCATAGTCACTGCTGACTGCTTCTTTGTCTTCCTGATAATAAACAAGTCATTTCTGTTAAATACTTAGTTACTGCTTGCACAAGTATGGTTTTTTTCTGTTTATTATATATGTATGCAAAAATAGTCAAAGAATTTATGTGTGTCTTTGAGATATCTCCTGTAGTAACACAGCCAACACTTTGTAAATGAGCTATGCATTGTGGTGGTCTGGGACACTGGTATTTGGTGACCAAAGGAACCAGCAGGTGTTGCAGAAACACTTGCTTTGCTCCTTCCCAAGGAAGCTGAATACAAAATTGTCCATCCAGGAAGCAGTTGCTTCTACAAAAGTTTTGCCAGAGGTAAGGATCTGCAGATCTATCAAGAGGCAGGAAAATATTGCTGCTTCTTCCTTTAGTAACTTTTAAGATGAAAAATTTGTGGCTGCGTCCAGCAGGTGGCAAGCACAGCACACCGAATCGTGTCTGAGAAAGAGGTACCTCCTCCATTGGAGCTCCTGATGCTGTTCGACTTGTACGCGTATACGTGAACAAAATGTCATACAGATAAATGGCAAGCTCTGATAGTTCTTCATCAGCTTACTGTGTGCTCTGGATGCTATTTATAATGCATGGCACTGCTGCCATATTTATTTTCAAAGAATGGCTATTTCACATGCCTGTTTAAGGATATAAGCTGAAAATAAAGCGCTATATGTGAGAATAACTCAGCTGTCCCTGAATGACATGTTCAGGTATCAGATTTTTTTTTAAATAGCTTTCAATTAAATCAACCTTCAATGAAAAAGCATTTTTTAGTGAAGTACAGCTGTAGAAGTTTTACTGAATCATCACAGTGCCTTGTGAGATGTAAATAGGAATTACAGAAAATCCAGCTGCTTGCTAACTAAGCAACATTAAAGATATCATTCAGAAGATTATAAATACCACAAATTCTCCAGGGTCGTGTATCTGTCTATGTGACAAATATGTGAATTTTTGGAATTTTTTTTCTTAAGCTTTATTATGTTGGAAAGTATTTACGAGCTCATTTATCTTTGAAGAAAATAAATGGGAGTTAATCAGGCAAATATTTTCTGGAGTTCGTTGTCTGAGATTTATAAGGATATGTGAGGATTTCAGGAGTTGGAACTTCTTATCACCTTTTCCCCTTCATTTGTGGAGAGCTTGAGCCAGATTTTTGTTCTGATTTATGCTAGTATAAAATTAAAAATTGTTAAAATTGTTCCATACAAATAAAATGTGGATCTACATAGAGCAGATAATCCTGATTCTAGAATCAGTTTCATATAAGTGAACAGCAATGAAGTAAATGCCAAGGACAAAGTTTGGTCCTGCTTATTTAGTGATATGACTAAAAGCATCACAATGCTTTTGTCAGAATCCGAGCTTAAATGTCCAAGAATTTTGAAGAACTGAATGGATCTCGTTAGTTGGTACTTCTCTCATAGAGTACTCTGGTTATTCTACAAAAATAGCTTGAAGGTTTCTGATTGCTTCTGTCCTACGACTTCTGTTTTCCAACAGTTGCATAAAGCATGGGATTAGCCCACTCCATAAGCTGTGTTCTTCAGTCAGCACAGCACACCATTGAGAAATGTGAGGAAACCCTATTTGTGTGTCTGTCTATATATATATATGTGTGTGTATATATTACTAGTATAAAAATACCCACTGGGATAAAAATGTTTGAAGAAATGTTTGAAATCTCTAATTAGGAATATAAATCTAAAAATATATTTATTCTATATTTAATAAATAAACCTGCATTTTATTGCATATATTATGAAATTTTGCTATTTAAAAATGGAAAATAGTAGCACAAATCAGAATGAGACTAGTTTCATGGTCCTTAAATTTCAGTTTAAGTTGGGCCTGTAGATAAAGCATATGTTAGAGAAACAAGTTATAAATACAATGACAAATGACTCATTAAAAAGAACAAACAACCTACAACAAAATAACCCCACAAACCCAAAACCAAGCAGTGTAGTTCCATCAGGGCCTGAAACAAAACTTGGCTCACATGCGCAAAACAGGTTCTTCATAATTCACGTCACTTACAAAAGCTTTTCCTTTGAGTTCAGAGATGATCTGTAGTTTTGAGTAAATGGCAGAATGCTGACAAACTCTGATGTACCTGTCCTATCATTTATGCTGCTTTCAACGAAGTAAAACAAAATGAAAATCAGGCAGTCCTCCGCACAAGGTAAAACAGAAGGCCACTGCTAAATCTTTGCAGTGTGATTTTGCTGAAGTGATTTAATGTTTCTGTAATAAGCAGTAAGCTGTGATGTCTGGGACTGCAGATGGATTTTGTCATTCATGCTGCTTCGTTCACAACTTTGTTCAGGAAAAAAGAATATAGCGAAGTGCGTCACTCAGTGTCAAAAGACCCAGCAGTCTTTTTAGTGGGCAAGCGTATATTTTCTGGTGGTCGATACGAGAGGGAGCTCATTTTTGTAGTGAGACTTGGATGTGTGCTGACATTTGGTGGAATGTATTTTATTAGCTGAAGGAAGTATTTTTTAAAGTTTTTTCCAAAGAAAACATAAAAAAAAGGATTCAAACAATTATTAAAGTAAGCGATGCAAATAGTAAAGGGCATAGCTGTATCCACAATATCAGTGATTTTGCAGTCTGTTATTACATGTAATTGAATTAATACATCCAGAAAAGTGAACACTTGATGAGGAATCCAGGAAAAGAAGAAGAAAAATACTATTGCCACAATCATCTTAAAAATGTCATCATTTCTGGTCTTATTTCTTTGAATTTGATATGCCTTCTTCAGGGTCTTCCAAATCAGGGTGTAGCTTGTTAGTATGATAAGAAAAGGGATCAAAAATCCCAGTAAATTCTTGGATAAGCCTAACCCAACCCTCAGTGTTGTGTTATTGTTGTCATATCGAAAGCCACAGACTGTCATGTTCAAGTTCTCCGCAAAAAATATATTACGATGAATGATAACGGGCAAACTGGCCACACCAGCAAGGAGCCAGATGACAATGCAGGTTACTCTGGCAACAAACATGGTACGCCGGATTCGTGACTTCACTGGATGTACTATGGCCAGATAGCGGTCGATACTAAGGCATGTGAGTAGGAACACACTGGCATACAAATTGAAACTGATTCCTGCTGATGCTAGCTTGCATAAACAGTTGCCAAAAGGCCACTGGTATTCCATGGCCGTGTAGGCTGCCCAGAGTGGCAGAGTTATTAAAAAACACAAGTCAGCCAGCGCCAGGTTTAGCAGAAAGATGCTGGCCACTGTTTTTAATTTCATGTAGCAGTAAATGACAATAACGACCAGGCTGTTCCCAAATATGCCTATGATGAAGATGATACTGTAAACAGTTGGAACCATAATGTAGATGTAACTGTGCCTTCCTGAAACAGGACAGTCGACGTGAATTCTCTTAACAGTTTCTTCAGTAGAATAGTTTGGGACCATCTTGATCTCTTCTGCTGTGGCCTTGTTTCAGGGAAACAGTGTGAAGATCAAACCTGTTGGGGGGGGGGGAGAGCAAAAAGAGGAAATAAAAATAGTTCATGAGGGATTTAGGGTGTTTTTTGTTTTTTTAAATTTCAATTAAATCTCAAGATTTTCTGTTTAACTGGGGATACGAATCATTGTAGCAAATTCCATTTCTTACTCATAAGACATGGAATAGTCAGCAGTTAATCTGCTTTTCATTAACTGACTTCTGCCTATGACTTTCAGTTGAAAACTAGGTTGTAGGTACTCCATTATTATTCGCTACTTTTCCTGAAAAACTTAAATGGAAAGCAATGAAACAGATTTTTCCCCTTTTAATTTTTATTCATAAATATATGGTATTATCTCTCTACTGGTGTTCCTTTGCTTTTCTTTCCATGCGCTTGTCTCATACAGCTAATGCTACTGGTGTTTCATGCTTTTCCTCAATTTTATAATTTCTGGGCCATATCCTGCCCTCATTGTCAGTGAAATCAGAATTTCCTTCCAAAAACATGAGCGTAGGGTTCTTTTCTGGCTTTGAATAGAAGTAGTAATCAGGTCTGCAATCTGCAAGTTGTGAACGTGCAGTTCATTCTCTGCAAAACTTTACCCTGACACCATAGATAGCAGTTGCCTCAAATACAAAGCACTTGTTTATCTGGAACTCACATTGACTTGAGTGGGAAATTCACAATGTGTGTTCCTCTTGAATCATTTCTTGTTTGGAAGGCAGGTGGATGAAACCAGCAGTTTCTTTTACTTTGCTCTTTGCTGACTTGGAGCAAAAGAGTAGATTATATGTTGCAGCCTTGCTGCTATACCGATAGGAGGAGATTTAATCTGACTCTACAGGGACCTGGAAGTGAGCCATGCAGTGTGTAACAGTTTAGCAATAAATAATAACAATTTTAAAATGCCCAAATCAACCCAAGAATACTGATTCTCAGCCCACAAAAACTGAAGGGAAAATTCTTTTTCTATAACAGGCGTGTCTTGATAATCTTGATCATTACAGCTTCTTGAAAATACTGAGAAAGCAGAGAGCCAACATCTTAAACTGATCAATTTATATCTGCTAAGACAGTCATAGAGTCATTAAGGTTGGAAAGGGCTTCTGAAATCATCTAGTCCAAACATCCACCTACCACCAATACTGCCCCCTAACAACGTCCCTCAGTGCCACATCTCCACGGTTCTTGAACACCTCCAGGGATGGTGACTCTACTGTCTCTCTGGGCAGCCTGTGCCAATGCATCACCACTCTTTCTCAAGAGTGAAGAAATTTCTCTTGATATCGAACCTGAATCCTCCCTGGTGCATCTTAAAGCTATTCCCTCTAGTCCTAAAAGTCAAACAGAGCCAACACAGAAGCATTCAATGCCTTTGAAATAAACAAATGGAGGGGAGGGAAAGAAGGGAGGGAGAGCCACAGAGCTGTCTTTCAGTGTTTTCTCAACTGATTTCTATTTTAAAGTAGACCTTGCAGAATATAGCAGAAACAACAGTGCTAGGAGTTGGTTGTACATTGCTAATTTTCATTTACACTAAAAGAATCCAACAGATTTCTTTCAATTTTTTGAACAAGGTTCCAGATTAAAATACAACAATATGTTAATGAGCAAATGTTATGAAAATAATGACCCAAAATGGCAGATAGCTGTACATTCAGAGTCTTTACTTAGATTATTTTTTCCTATAATCAAGCGCTGTATCTCTCAAGCAAAGCTATCTGTATATCTCAGAAACTGTGCTTAAGCACTCTATCATTTTACTGTGTATGTTTAAAAAAAAAAAAGTACAAAGAAAGAAAAGAATTCAAATAAGAGTTATTTTGATCTCTGATGTGAATAGCCTTCTGCTGGACCTTAAATATTTAGAAGCTACCTAGATTCTGTCTGGCTTAGAAGTATGATGCTGAACTATGAATGACTGAAAAAAAAGAAAAAAAATCTCTGAAAATCCAAGCTTGTGCTTCTTTGTTGTTAATTAGTAACCTCGGAAATAGAGTCTAAGGATGTTAGAGAAGTCACAATTCACATTACTAACTTATGTTAAGTAAAAAGTGTTGAAGTCGTAATCTTAGACTAAGAGAAGTACTTCTAGACCACATCAATTCTATGGAAACTGTACAAATATGGCACTCGTTTGGTTTGCCAGAGCTTGTGTGTTTTGCAGGACTAATTTCCTTATTAATGATTTATGGCTTTAGCTGTGAGTCCAATACTAAACTTCCAGAGTGAATAAACAGCCAGTCTTCACTTAAAACAAAAAGAAAGAAAGGAAACTTAGAAAAATAAAAATAAAAATCAGTAGTTATTATCGCAGAGTAATTTTTATTGCTGTGTGCAGGATCCTGACAGCTGTCAGCCCAACCCAGTCTGTGCTGCTTGAAAACAAGATTAAGTGAAATATACTGGCTTTAAAACAAACAAAAAACCCTGTAATGTCACTTTTGTATAAACAGTATATATTCAGAAAGATACTTGCTCTTCCAGTAGCGTGGGCTGTGTTGTTAAGGAGGCAGTTGCTCATTATTTTCATTGCTAGCACTGACGTTCAAGGGTGGGCTGTGTGGGGCCCTGGGCAACCTGATGTAATGCCTGATTTAATGGGTGGTAACCCAGCCCACGGCAGGAGGGTTGGAACTAAATGATCTTCAAGGTTCTTTCAACCCAAGCCATTCCATGTTTCTGGTAAAGGCAGAATGCTACTGTGTTAATGACTGATGCGCTCCAGCTAGGAGACAAATCTTATTCCTAAATAGTTGACTTTTTCATCTTTGTTTTTAACAGGAAAGTGGCACACAGGTACACCTCTGCAAAGCCCATACAGGAGGTCTGGGGAAAAGCCATGCACTGAACACAGAATATGGGTTACAGTCAGTACCTTTTGAGCATGTCTCTCTTCGGCCCTCACTTAATTATGTTTTAAAATTCCTTTTTTTCCCCTCTTAGTGCTCTATTTTAAGGTCTGCATCAGGAAGCTGATTCAGTAAATCAAATGGGGCAATCTCAAGACTTAGGATCTTGATATTTCTGGATATTGGAATATCTAGTTAATTCCAGCCAATGACAAACCTTTTGTAAAGATATGTAAATATCTACCAGGCTCCCTGATTTATTCTGTGAATTAGTCTTGATGCTTCAAAATGACACCATCTTTTTCTACCATGTTTAAGATGTTACAAAGTTAAGCAAATACAACTGATGTTACACATATGTACATATGTATTTTGATCACATATGGCAATTTGTGCTTATCTTGCTGGCTCTCACTGTGCCATATCTACAGTACCTGGTGTCTGGCTCTGTGGGAGGTCATCCTATTCATAGGGCAGGGAGCACCAACACAAAAAGACCTCAAGATAAATCCTCTTATCTCAGCCCTTGGTTGTGAAAGTGCTTGACAGTAAATAATAGATTCTGCAACACTGAAGTCTGGCAATATGTACCTTGCCACACCTACATGCTGGTGCTGTGTGCTCTGTTCACTACCACAGCCAGCGAATGGGGCTTTGAGCAACCTGGCCTAGAGAAAGGAGTCTTTCCTGTAGCAGGGGGGTTGGAACTAGATGATTTGAAGGTCCCTTCCAACCCAAATCACTTTTTATCTTATATCCTTTGCTTATTTATCCACTGAGATAGTGGTCAAAAGTTAGCACTATGAAACTGAAGTCAGCATTGCAAATCAGGCCTGCAGTAAAGTATGCAAAGCCCAATTAAGGTTGAGCAAGACATTTCTCCAAGACTAGATAAATGGTTATAAACACTTTATAAAAGCAGGTGCTTCCACACAGGATGTATTACAGACTACAGAAATAGTGGTTAGTGCAACTTTCTTCTCTTAGAATTCACCACAACAGAATAAACCACTGTCCACTTAAATGCAAGTACTGAAATTGTGCACACAGATAATTCCATTTAAAACATCTTAAATGACCTGAGTTAACATAATGATAATTGGATCATTTGAAGGCTGATACACAAGGAGCTTTTTCTACAAAGACTGAATTGAAGTGATTGTGAATGGCGTGGCAACATCAATCTTAAAGCAAATTATCTGGTGAGCAGCAAACCCCTGTTGTATGTTACTGTCCTGTTTGACCTTTTATCTTTTTTAATTACAATGATTATAATGAGTCACTGATAATGAAATGCTTGAGACTGCTCTACCGACTATTATTTACCACTTCATTCATTGCTTCTGTTGGGTGAACATGCATCCTAATTAAACTGCCTGTCGAAACAACAAGGAATGCTAGGCCCATACAAGGTAAACAGCACTCTGCCTGCTGAAAGATAAGATCACACTGACAGTGGCTTTCTGTGAGAACTTCATCAGCTATAAATAGGTAAGCAGATGTCACAAGTCAGTTTTCAAACAAAAAAAATGTGTTTTTAATATTTGCTTTGGTACAAACTAAGCAAACTGACTGAACAACCCTGCCACCGTTAGGAAATGTGGTGGTGCTTTTTTTTCTTCTGATGGTAGGTTATTTACTTTTCTCATAAATGAGATAATATTACCATGTTGGAGGATGATGCATTCTAATTTTATACAAAATTATTACACAGGGAGAAGAGGCTGTAAAATGTTTGGAACAGTATGTTCAGTATTGAACTATGTTTACTTTCCTGTGGTCCAAGCTTTTTCCCTCTATCTGGAGATTTTAGCTCCCACTCCTTTCCTAATTTCTTGTATTCTTTCTCTAATTGCTGAGAAACTAATGATACTTCCCAAATGCTTGATCTCACTGCTTTTTTTTCCTACCCAGCTTTGCAACCCCCGTGTTCACAGTATTTTTTAAATATAAATGTATTTTTTTTTTCCACTTCACGTCCTACTTCAGCCCCTTCCTTGCCTTCCTGGAGCTCCTGAGCAGAACCAAGCTGCTCAGGATATTCCACAAATACTTTGCACCAAATGCAGTAGGAATCCATCCAGAGAAAAGAATTACTGTTTAACAAATATGGATTTAGAAGATAAATGAACGTAAGAAACAAATTGAGTGCAGTTCCTGTCTGAG